GTGTCATAGCTCAACATTCCCATTTTACCTAGGTGGACACTGAGGCCCAAAGTGGGAAAAGGCCTTGCTCAAGGTCACAGAGCAAGTCAGTAGCATAGCTGCAGTGCTCAGGGGACAAGAACCCCGACTTCTGCCCAGTGTCTATGGGTATGCACCACGGCCACACCCACTCGGCAGAGTGCAGTACCAGGCGGGCAAGGCAGGGGGCGTGGCTTACTTTCGCCCCTCCTCCTCCTCCTCCGAGTTCAGGGGGGAGGCCTTCCTCCAACCTTCTCCGCTCCAATATGGCTGCACGGCTGTGCAGCATCTCTGCAGCGGCGCGGCGGCTGCTGCGGAGCCCCGAGCTCCGCGCCGGGAATGTTGCGGCTGCGGCTGTGGGGCGGTGAGAGCCGGGCCGGGTTGGGGCAACCTGCGCGGGGCGTGCAGGGGAGGAGGACAGGGTCTGGGCCTGAGGGATGGGCAGAGACTCTGGCTTGGAATCTATGCGTTAGAGGCGGGGGCAAGTTCTAGACCTGAGGAAGAGCTCTGAGCAAGAATGGGGGAGATGGGAAAGATATGCACAGAGTCTTGTCCTAGCAGATACCTGGCTCTGAACAGAGATTGAAAGATGGGGTGAATGGGAAGTGCAGGTCCTGGGCCCTGATAGTGGGAGCGGGCAGAGGGTAGGAGGAGTGGCCCCTTCCCTAGGCCTTTGCGGTGATTGTGAGAAAGCACCCACTGAGGCTTCTAGGAGAGGCAGCTTCCCCTTCGGGAAGTTCTGGGGAGAAGACATAGAAAGAACAATGGAGGATCCTCAAGGGCCATGGCTGCATAGACCCTTTACTCCCAACCCGAACAGTACAGATGGGTCAAAAGAGCCCTGAGAATGGATGGGAATTCCCCAAGGTCACTCCTCGAGTCCTGTGGCAGCACTGGGTCTAGATCCTGTTCTATTGACACTCTGCTCTTTGCACCACAGCTGGTGGCCTCCTGGGAGACGGAGGCTGGCGGGCCACGCCATCAGCCTGGGTTTTAGTTTGGGCCCTGATCTGGGTGCAGGCAGGGCTTGGCCTCCTTGACTGGCCCTGGGCGGCCCCTTCCTCCTCCATCTCCAGGGCCCTGTACTTCCCCCATCTCTACACTTATCACCCTGTACTTGCTCGCCTGTCTCCTTGGCTAGACCGTCAGCTCATTTTTCTGTTTCCCTAACCTTTGGCACAGGGCTCAGGACAAGTGCTCAAGAATGTTTGCCAAGAAATGAGGACACCTGTCCCCCCACATGTGGAAAGGAAGCAGGGATGCCTCTGCCTAGCAGTCACAAGTGTGAAGCTGCAGAATTTTAGACCCTGCCTTGAGATGTTAGAGTGCCGTGCAGTGGGGCTTTGGGGCACTTGGGCAAGAGCTAGCATGTGCCCAATATTTGGGAAGAAAGCTGATATGGAAAGAGCCTGGAGTTTGCCTGGCACCAGCAAATCTAACTCAGCCTTTCTTGGTGGGGTGACCTTGGGTGGCCTCTTGAAGTCTGATTCCACATCTATAAAATGGGAGTAATAAAATAGTATATATAGAATTGTTGAGGATTAAAAAGGCCATGTGTGTGAGGTTGCTAGCCCCTGGTGAACACGCAACAGAAGTTGCCCCTTACTCAAGCAGTTTCTGTGTGAGCCCCTCATAATATCTGGGCTGAAAGGGCCCTGGGGAGATCATAAGTCCCTTATTTTCCAAGTAAAGAAATCAAGATTGAGGAAGGGACCTCACTTTCCCAGGGTTACAGAATCAATTGGTGGTAGAAACCATCCAGAGGCCACAACAGGGGCATGGGACATAGAGGCTTCCTGCTGCTCCTCACTTGGTCAGTGACCTTGGATTAGGCACTGAACCTCTGTGAGCCTCAGGTTTTTTCTCTGTAAAGTGGGGATGGTGATCCCTGCTAAGTACTTTTTGCAGGATTGCTGTGAAGACACTTACCAAGTGAATGAATATCAAGTACTTCAAGGACTATTTTGCTGTTACTTATGCCTTGGTCTCATTTGGGATACTAGGGACATCTACCCCCCCTCACCTCCACCCCCACTCCACTGACCCTCAGTTGCCCCATATCTCTCTGGATCCAGTCACTAGAGGGGCCAGCAGCAGCCCTTCTGGCCTCTCAGGTTTGTGGGCTGTGACATCAGATGGACCTGGATTGGATCCTCTTGCCCACTGCTTAACTATCCTTGAATAAGGCATGAGACATCTCTGAGCCTCATTTTTCTCAAAACCATTTTGGGAAGATTAGCTCTTAGCACATAGTAAGTGGTCAATAAACAACTGTTACTGTTACTGTCGTACCAATAATCCTGTTAACAGAACTTTAGTTCCAGTTCTTCTAGTGTGTCTTCTAAAGATACACTTCTGGAACAATAAGCAGAAATGTGGCCCTTTCTAAAGTCAGCCAACTCAAAACAGAAGAGTGTTTCAGAAGGTGCATAGAGCTCCCGAGCAAATAAAGCTAGAAAATTCTGGAGCATTTTCATATGGGGAGGCATTAGACTCTTGATCCCTAATGAGAGTGCAAATGTGTCATCTACTGAAAAGTTCTCATCTGGGACAAATATTGAGCAACTCTTGTGCCCAAAGCACTGTGCTAGGTATCCTGTGGGATGGAAGGATATTGGCTAGTGGCTTCTGGTGTTGAGAAGGTAAGACATATTCATATGATAATGATGAAAGGGCTAAGGGGGAACTATGAGGGGTGATTTTATGGGAAGGGCTAAACTGGACCAGCTAGGGCAGATCCCATAGATTGGACAAAGCTGTATTGTCTTTTTCTAGGCCTATTAGGCATTCTTAAGAGTTTAGATAACAATCTTTGGAATTTCTGGCATGATTTACTGAGATTACAGTTTTAAAAAATGGGACTGATCTAGAGCAATGATTCTCAAACTTGAACATGCATCAGAACCCCCTGATGGGCTGGTTAAAACCCAGATTGCTAGGCCCACCCCCAGAGTTTCCATTCCAGTAGTTCTGGGATAGGGCCTGAGAATTTCTCAGGTGACCATAGTGCTGTGGGTCTGAGAACCACTGGGATGGGGAATTCTGGATTCGTAGTTATCAAATTTAAAAGAGAATTAATTCTGAAAAGCCTGGCAAAGTAGAGACACCCAGCCTTTGTTTTGTAGGCAGTGGGGAGCCATAGAAGACTTTTAAGCAGAAGAATAGCGTCACAAAAATGGTGCTTTCCAAAGATTGGTGGGCAGATTAGGAAAAATGGTGAAAGAGTGGGAGTGGGGAGATCAGTTAGGAAGTCATGTGGGAACACTGATACTAGCTGCCACTGTCACGTCAGGCCCTTTCTCTAAAGGCCCCTCCCCTTACCTCTATTTTACAGATGAGGAATATGAGGTTCAAAGAGAGATGAAGCTGAGCTGGGATTAGAACCTGAGTTTGTCCAGAAACTGTGCTCTTAAGCACTAATTCTCCTGGCAGTGGTGGGAATAGAAAGGGCCCCTGAGCCCCATGTCCACGCTCTGAATGAAGGTCCACCTTTTTGTTTCCTTTCTTCCAGCTTTTACCATTTTCCTGCAGCTCTATCTGAGCCCTCCCCCTACCCCAACTCCTTTCATTTCTGAAATATGGACTGAGCACGCGCCATGTGCCCAGCACTGTTCCAGGCACTGGGGAGACAGCAAGGATACACAGGACAGACAATATCCCTGTTGCCGTGAGGCTGCTTCTAGTGGGGAGACAATAAACAAGGCATAATAGAATAAGCAAAAAAAAAAAAATGTGTGTGCGTGTGTGTGTGTTAGAATGTGTTAGAAAGAGCTATGGGGAAATAGCAGGACGAGAGGGCTTGGGGAGTTCAAAGGTAAGAGAATGCTTTGATTTCACTGAGAAAATATTTGAACTGAAAGTGTGACCCTAAAGATGCTGGCTTCCAATTCAGACTCTGCCCTGGGATCTTGGACAGGTCCTTTCTTGGGTTTTACCTGTAGAAAAGATTTTTAGAGACAGGCTGCTCTACCCTGCTTGTTTGATACATGGGGAAACTGAAGCTCATTGGCAAGAAAGATTAGAGAGTGATGGGAAGACATGGGAGCCCATCAGAGGTCCTGGACCTCCTTTCTACTCCCCAGCACTCCAGCCCTCAGGCTTTCTCTCCATGGCTGGCCACTTGGTTGTTTATCTTAGTCAGATGTTAATGAATTACTTGAAGTCCAGTTCTGGAGCAAAGGTCTTGGTTGACAAATCATAGGAGGTGCTCTCCTCCCTGCCACTACCCTTTCCAAGGGAAGCATCCACTCTACATTCAAACCGAAGGGCAGGTCCATCTGCTAGTGGTTTTGTTGAAAACACTTGGTTCTTCACAGTATCTGCCTGGTGCTCCCCAGGTTGGTACCTGACCCAATGTGGGGGCCGACTTTAGAGAAAAGAGCTATAGGTTAGCTCTTACCTGAGCTCTGCCCCTGATTTGCTATGTGACCTTGGGCCAAGTTCCCTAAACTCTCTTATCTTCTATTTTCTCATCTCAAAAATGGGGACACTAATAGTAACACTGTAACATCATTATGTAGATCCTTTTTAGTAGGATCATGCTACTAAAAAATCAATCACAGATCCCTGGCATAGAGAATGGCCTCAGCGAGTGTTATCTATAGCAAGGATCCCTTATTCTGGTCCAGAATTTTCATAGACCACACCACTTATCTGATGATAATTATCTTTTTGGTGTTTGTTAATGAAGCAAATACATGTACGATGACAGAAAGCCTCTGCACTCAGAAACACTTAAAACATTTTTCTTTTTGACTTTATATAAAATTATAATGAAAAAAGAAAAATTTAAAGCCCCCCCCGCCCTTTCTCAGGTAAGCAGTATTAACGATTTGGGACAAATTCTTACTCATCTTTCTCTATGCTCATACAAATGTATCACTACTTTAAGATGGTTTTTTGTTGTTTTTTTTTTTTACTTCATCAGTCCCAGTGGCTGCTCCATATTTTGGGGGAAAAAATATTCAACACTTTGAATTTGCAAGACATTTATTCTAGGCACAGAAAAGTCTCAAAAAAGGCAAGGGCTGATGGGCTCCACTACCAGGCTCCCTGGCTAGAAATCATGCAATAGGAGACTTACTTTTCAGGCTTTGCCAGAAGCTGCTGGGACCTTGTGTGGCGAGTACAGCTACGGTCTGGCAGGACCTGGCACCAGGTCCCTCTGCTCTGAATGAGGCATATCATTCATTCATTCATTCATTCATTCATTCTCACGGGAACAGAACCCTAGAGGTGCACAGGACATATATTTGTCAATTAAATGTTGGCTGCACAAGTGAATGAACTTTGCCTTGCAATGCCTTTTATCCCCTCTATTTGCCAAATCAGCCCTGGAGATTTGGAAACTGATCAGATCACCTCTGGAGAGCCTGCCCAGATTGCTAGAGGCTGAGTACAGGCTCATTTGCCTGGGCTCTCCCAGAGATACCTTCGGCTGTAATTGTGTTCCAAGGATCATTTCTTCCACTGGACTGTGACTTCCTCAGGGACAAAGCTTATTTGTCTTTGGCTCTCCATTCGTGGGGGCTGGGAAGGGGCACTGGGTAAGTGTAGTGTGAGCACTGGAAAGGATATGAGTGCAGCATTCTCATCAGAGGGGACAGAACTTGCAAAGAAAGCACAGAGTAAAAGAGCCTAGTGTGTTCAGGGAGGAGCGACACCTGGAGGGTGGGGTACACATGTGGGGGGCACACAGAAGGGAAGGCTGACAATATAGGTTGGGCTATCAAGGGCTTTGGACATCTGGCAAGGTGGGTTTGGGTTTGCCTCTTGGCAAGGGGCTGCAGTTGTGTCGCCCAAGTGGAGAACCCCTTGGAAGGGAGTGAAGTGGAGGCAGGGAGGCTAGAGAGACATAGGAGGTGGCACTGCCTCTTAGCCTCCTGAGGCTCTGCAAAGCTTTAAGAAGTAAACCGGGCAGCCAGGATCTCTGTAGAAGGGACCAGTTCTGCTTAACTGGCTTCAATAACATGTTACATTCTAGAGCTGCCATGGGATTCTGTGGCCCCATTCCCAGAAATGTGTGTCACCAGCCTGGGAGAGCAGGGCTGGTGAAAACAGATGGAAAGTCTGAGGCTCCCCGACCCTTGTATGTCCCCTGAATTCTTTTGTCCTGCAGCTTCTATTCCAAGGACAATGAAGGCAGCTGGTTCCGCTCCCTTTTTGTGCACAAGGTGGATCCCCGGAAGGATGCCCACTCCACCCTGCTGTCTAAGAAGGAGACCAGCAACCTCTACAAGATCCAGTGTGAGTGGCTGCTAAGCCAGCTCGCCCTTCTGGGGCCTCTAGAGGCCTGCAAGGCTCCCGTTGGGAGTCGAAAGGGGCTGGGATACCCTGAGCTGTCCTGGGAGCCCTGGCCCTATGGAGCTCCCCCCACCCCAGCTCCCCACAGAAACACAGCTTCTGCTTCACCTCCCACTCTTTGTCCTCTATTGCAGTTCACAATGTGAAGCCCGAGTGTCTGGATGCCTACAACAGCCTGACGTGAGCAACTACCTCCATCCACCTGTTCCAGCAGCTGCTTGGGTGGGGACTATACCCAGCCCAGTTCTCATAGAAATCCAGGGATGTAGATTTCAGAGCCAGAAGCCCTAAGGACATCTTGTCCAGCCTCTCATCTTCGAGATGGGGAGACTGACACCCAGTCCTTATGCCTGAGTTGGAACCCTTATCTCAGGGTCCCTGGTGGCTGGTGTGAGCCCTCCCCACTCTCTGTGCCCCTCTCACAGGGAGGCTGTGCTACCCAAACTGCACCTGGATGAGGACTACCCCTGCTCGCTTGTGGGCAACTGGAACACGTGGTACGGGGAGCAGGACCAGGCAGGTGAGGTGCCCACCCCTCTAGCACCCTTGCCACCCAGCCCAGGCCTCCAGCACCTGTCATACCTGGTTGCCCTCCACTCCCTTTCTACAGCAGCAGTCATTGGGGTCTTTCTAAATGCAATCCTTATGGGTTCACTCCCCTGTTCAAACACCTGTGTTGGCTCCCCTCTTGAGATGTTGCCTGTGAGATGGCCCATGAGGCTCTGCAAGTCCTTCCCTGCCCAGCCTCTGGCTTTATCTCGCCACATCCTCCTTGCTTACTGTGCTGTCCCACTCGAGACTTTTTTCAATTTTTCAGATCTGTGGTTTCACCCTCTAGTTCCACACCATTGTTCATGCTGTTTCCTCTGCCTGAAGCAGTCTTGCTCTCTTGCTTACTTTACCTGATTCACTCCTCTACTCATTTTTCATTTTGATATAGACATCACCTCCTCCTAGAAGCCTCCCCTGATTCCTGCTTCCTGAGCTGGATCAGGCACCTCCCCTGACTCTCCAGCCTCCAGGACCTTGCCTCTTCACAACCCTGATCATGCACCCTGTAGTGTACTTGACTGTCTCCCCATGTAAGTGCCTTGGCATTTAGATCTGCACAGTCCAGGAAGGTAGCCACTATCCACATGTAGCTATTTAAATTAGATAGAAGTAAACAAAATGAAAAATTTAGTTTCTCAGTCACACTAGCCACATTTCAAGTGCCCACTGATAGACATGTGGCTCATGGCTACCATGTTGGACAGCACACAGTTATAGAACATTTCCATTGTAGTAAAAAGTCCTTTTTGTGCTGATTTAGACTCTGCACGCAACAGGGAGCTTTCGTTGAACACTCCCAACAATGAGGAGCTCACTACTTCATAAGCTAACCTGTCTCACCTTTTCACAGCCCTGATGATTGTATGTGTCTTTTAAAATATCTGTGATATGCAGATAGAGTATCTTAATTATTTACTCTTTCAGTAACAGCCACTGACACATTGAAAGGCAGATAAGAGAAAAGCAAAACTTTCCTCCCTTGTCCCGGCTGTTCTCCCAAGGATAGCAAGACTTTCTTCTACAATAACTAGGTTTCTTTGTTATTGTAAGGTGTATTAGTTTCCTAGGGCTGCCATGACAAAGTACTAACCATTGGCTGGCTTAAAACAACAGGAATCTATTCTGTCAAGTTCTGGAGCCCAGAAGTCTGAAATCAAGGTGTGGGTAGGGCCACACTCCCTCCAAAGGCTCTGGGGGAGAATCTTTTCTTGCCTTTTCTGGCTTCTGGTGGCTGCTGGAAATCCTTGGCATTCCTTGGCTTGTAGATATGTCACTCCAATCTCTGCCTCCTTAGGCACATAGCATTCTTCTGTGTGTTTGTCTTCACATGGTGTCCTCTCTGTGCCTGTGTCCAAATCTCCCTCTCCTATGATATCAGTCATTGATTTTAGGGCCCACCCAGTATGACCTCATCTTAGTTTGATTACATCTACAAAGACGTTATTTTCAAATAAGGTCACATTCTGAGTTTCTGGGTAGGCATGAATTTGTTGGTGAGAGGGGAATGCTATTTAACTCAGTACAGAGGTTATGATAACAAATTCAAACAGTACAAGAGTTTTCAGTGAAGAGTAAGCCCCCTTCTTGCCTGTGGTCCCAGGCTTCAGTTCTTTGCCCCAGGGGCATCTCCTTTCTCAATCTCTTAGATCTCCATCTACAGATGGTGCTTAGACCAGCATCTGTGGAGATGTCTGTCTGTCCCTAAACACATGTGGTACCATACCGTACATGCTGTTCTGTTCTTTGGTTTCTTTTTTAAATTCACTGTCTTGGAATATTCCATCTCAGCCCATCAGACCTACCCACTACTTTTGTCTAGCATATTCCTCACGGGCCTGACTTTATGTCTGTCACTGCTCCTTGGGTACAAGTTCATATCTGATTCTTTCATTGCTATTGAAGGAAGTAGATGGGAGCATTATTGTCATTTTCAAGGTGAAGACATCGAAGCCTAGAGGGGTCAGAGGCTACTTGATGGAGCTGGAGCTGAAACCTGGGTCTTCTGGGCTTGTGTCTGGGATCATCCCCTGCCCAACACTGCCACCCACCAAGGCAAAGGGAACTCAAGGAATCCTGATAATACAGAGAACCAACTGGATTCTACCTCTTTACATGCACACTTAGCCAACCTTGCCATAAGCAGGTCAGGGGGTCCTAGCAGCTTCCTGACCTGTACCTCTTACCCCCCAACAGTGCACCTGTGGCGATTCTCAGGTGGCTATCCAGCCCTCATGGACTGTATGAACAAGCTCAAGAACAACAAGGTATGTCAATGTCCATTCAGCAAACCTTCTGGATATTGGTTCCAGCCTAGCCCTGTGCTGGGGCCGCCTCTGCCACCCCATGGGGCATACTGCCAGGACTGGGGTCTTCTCTTGGCTGCCATGCCCAGACTGCCATTCCTGCAGGAGTACCTGGAGTTCCGAAAAGAGCGGAGCCAGATGCTGCTGTCTAGGAGAAACCAGATGCTTCTCGAGTTCAGCTTCTGGAACGAGCCACAGCCCAGAGCAGGCCCCAACATATATGAGCTGAGGACATACAAGCTCAAGGTACCTCCCTCCTTCCAGACCCCCACCTGCTCCTGCCTTCCCTGCTGCAGTGCTGCTTTACAGGTGCCCTAGCACCTAGACTGGGGCTTCTGGCCTCTCCCTCTGGGCCCAGAACAGAGGTGTGTATACACCTGTGCACATGTATACACCCAGGTGCAAGTCAGGGCCTCTAAATGAGGCCAGGCAGCCCCAGGAGCTGGGAGACACAATGCTTTCTCATCTCCATCCAGCTGTGATGTTGGAAATCCAAGGTGGGGCTCATTACCATCCTTTCTTGGTTCTCTTTCAGCCAGGAACCATGATCGAGTGGGGGAACAACTGGTGAGTGGCAGTGCCAGGGGCTCAGGGTGGGATGGTTGGGGAAATCCTGCTCACCTGCACTACCAAGGCTCCTGGCGGGGGTGCTCCTTTCCCAGGGCCAAATGGCAAGGAACCCAGCAACCTCTGCCTCTCACGGATCCAGGAGAAGGATCCAATGAGGAGGTGAAGATCTGGAGAATTTTGAGACCTCCCCGGGAAAAACATCCAGACAGCAGCTTCACCTCTGTCACCCCATTCCCTGACCATGTCTGAGAGCCGGGGGACCTACCTCAGGCCTCTCTCTTAAGATGTGGTCAAGAAATCAGCCCGGGGACACGTCAGGGGGCTCTTTGTACCGGCCTTGGCCTCTGCCCCACACTGTTCTGTCATCCCCAGGGCTCGGGCCATCAAGTACCGGCAGGAGAACCAGGAGGCAGTGGGCGGCTTCTTCTCACAGATAGGGGAGCTCTACGTTGTGCACCATCTCTGGGGTAGGCTGTGGACCCTCCAGAAGCTTTCTGCTAGTCCCCTTTCTCTGCTGTCACTCTGCATAGACAATGTGATTAGTGCCCTTGGGGAGCTTAATGTTCTAGCACAGGGAGACAGCACCTCAGACATAAACTAACAAAAAAGATAATTTCAGATTATTACAAATAATAGAAATGATGAATAAAAGCATGGGAACCTACATTGGCTAGAATAGAAAAAGAAGGCCTCTCTGAAGAGGTAAAAATGTAAGCCCAGCTAAAGAATGAGAAAGAAACAGCTGTGAATGACTAGGGAAGGGCATTCCAAATAGAGGGAACATGGGCAGAGGCCCTGCACTGGGGAAAGGCCTTCAGGGTTTTGAGGAAGGCAAAGGAGGCTGGTGTGGAGAGTGGGGAAGAATGTGAGGAGATCAGGCTGGGCCTTGCCGACCTTGGGGATGGGTTGGGATATGTTTTAAATGCAACAGGAGGCTGCTGCAGCATTTTAAGCAGCATAACATGACCTGATGTGTGTTCTGATTCCTCTGGCTGCCATATGCTTTGCCGAGAGCATTTTGCAGGGAAGCGAGAGAGGAACTGGGGCAAGAAGAGGACTCTAGAACTCCCAAACTCCTGCCTGAGCAGCTGCGTGTTGCTTACTGAGACTCTAGGAGTAGGTTGGAAGGGTTAAGTGTGTAATTTTGGCCCTCAAAAGTGTTACGTTTGAGACGCTGACATATCCAAGTGGAGATGTTAAGTGGGCACTAGATATATGAGTCTGGAGCCTGAGGGAGAGTTCTAAGCTGGAAATGTAAATTTGGGAGTTGTAAACGAATGTACTGATTAGACGAGATTGTCAAAGCAGACAGTGTTTGCTAATAGTCTGAGGCGTCAGGGAAGAAGAAACAGCAGGGCAGGGTTTGGGGTGGGAGGGCCCTGTGCTGGGTACAGGGTCAGATCCTCTGTGCCCAAGGAATGAGGCAGTACCTTTCCCACAGCCTATAAAGACCTGCAGTCTCGGGAGGAGACTAGAAACGCTGCCTGGAGGAAGAGGGGCTGGGATGAAAATGTCTACTACACAGGTGAGCACCTTCTTTGGGAGCTCAGTGGAGCCCTTGGAGCTCATTTGCTAGGAGTCCTATCTGAGGATGGAATCTTGTCTGCAAGGAGAGCTAGCCTCAGTTGGTTACCTCCAGTGATGGATAACTCACTTTTAGTTAAATGAGTTAGTGGGTTTCTATTCTGGTGGCACACTCTACATGATCTGTGGAATCCTAAGTGAGTGCTATAGGGGATGATACAACAAACAGAACCAAGAGGACCCTGCCTCAGAGAAGTGGAGTAGCTGTGACCTTAGGCATGGTTCTCCACCTCACTGAGGCTATTTCCTCATCTGTAGGATGGCAGTCGTGATAGAGCCTGCCTCTGTGGGCCAGAGGGAGGAATCTAGGAGCTTATTTATGAAAAGTGCTTTGCCCACACTCTGGCACAAAGGAATCACACAGCAAATTTTTTAGAGAAAGTTTTTTTGCTCAAGGTTTTTGCCACTTTGCTGGGCCCCCTGAGAACCACCTGGAGTCAGCAGGTATTGATTGAGCCCTCACTGTGTGCCTGGCACTGTGCTGGGCCAGTGGCCATGGGGCCCAGAATGAACAAGAGCCTGGCCGTGCCCTTGGGGAACTTAGATTTGGGCTTCCACACTTAATAACTGCTGTGGGAAAGAATGCTTCTCCTGGAGGAGATAACTAGAGCCTTGCTCTTCAAAACGTGGTCCCAAAAGAGTACTATCAGCATCCCTGGAACTTTTAGAAATGCTAAATCTCAACCTCCACTGAATTCAAATCTGTGCTTTAACAAGAAGTGTAGGTAATTTATATGCATAGTAAAGTTTGAATAGCTCTGAGCAGGAGGAAAGTGACCTCAAGGGTGACCTTGGGTTGATTTGCTTTGGGTTGTGGTCTCCTATTTATAAAATGATGCAATTGAACTAAATCTGTGTTTTTCACACCTTGGCCACTTGACCTCCTCACAGCTTTTGTCCTACTAGTTTATTACTGCTACAATTATTTTCTTTAAATCCCCCTACTTTGTTCTTCACCTAACTTTGTCCTGAGAAGTAGTATCTGTGAGATTACTTTTTACTATTCTGGTTAATTTTTTTTCACATGCACAGGAAAATAAATATGTAATTATGAAAAAATTTTTAAATGTTGCATTTTATCACCACCTAAGTCCCCTCTTCTTTCAGAGTTAGAAAGACCTCCATGGGCCATTCCAGGGGGGCAGTGGGGCTTTTCCTGTTTCAGCATCCCAAGCCTCTTCCCCCTTCAAAATCCAATTTCAGCCCTCTCCATGACCTCTGCCTCTCTCTCCACAGTCCCCTTGGTGCGACACATGGAGTCTCGAATCATGATCCCTTTGAAGATCTCGCCTCTCCAGTGATGCTGCTACTGACTCCATCTCCTTCCCCTTTTCCTTTAGGGCAGCCATGGACAGGGGAGCTCCCAGTCCTGCTGTCTTGGTTTTCTCTCAGATCTGGGAGGACTCTAGGGGCTAGTGCTCAGCTCAGACAAGGGGGAGCTGAAGGATGACGGAGTTCAGAGGACTTGCAGCTCTGCCCAGACCCTTCCTACCTTCTCTACCTATTCTTCCCCTGTGCTGGAATCAGTTTTTAATTTCTCTGAATGGAAAACAGCAACTTTTTATGTCTTCTTACATTTCCCCCTAAGATTACTCATCTCAAGGCCACCAGTCCACAATTATCACCATGAAAACCCTCAGTTTTAGCTTTAGTTGCACAAAAAGTGGTGTGTCCAGTGAGTAGAGATGGGGTGGGAAGGGTCACACCAGTCCAGGCTCTTAGGAATTCCCTGGTCTTCACTGGGCCACCCACTTCCTGGATAGTCTGAACTTAGTCCCTCCTGCTGAGGAAGAACCTAGAACTGCCACAAAAAGTAAAGGGGAAAACCCTCAAGTTAGCAAAGTCTTCAGGAGGTCCACATTGTCCACCCAGAAAGGCCAGGAAAAGGGAGCTGGGAAGGATCTGGGAACAAGAAACAATGGAACAGGAACAGGAACCCAGAACTGGGAATCTAGAAGGTAGAACTTAGAATTCAGAAATTGAGTTTGAACTACAGAACTTGGAATACAGAATGGGGAAGATAGAACAGAGGTGACAGAAGACCACTTGGGGAGAGATTCCTAATACAAGACGGCTTTTAACTGAGAGAGGCTCATCTGTTTCTCTGTATATAATGAGTTTGAAAACTTGAATATGTAGTTCCAGCCCTTCCATGCAGGGGATCTCCTGCCCTCCGTTTTCCTTTCTGCAGGTAAAAGACGGGCCAGGGCCTGTATTCTCACCCTGCATCCCTTTTTTCCCTCTTTACTTTCTGTCAGCCCAACCCTCATTCAACCGGACCACTGGGTGTGTGAAGTAAGGTCAGTGATTTAGGGGGCCTCCTTAGTGACCTCCACACCTCATGAACCTCTGGGTAGCTTGAGTCTGCCTCCCTTTCAGGAAAATGTGTTCTGGAGTTGCTGATGAAAACAATTAAATGTTTACTATAAACTATGGTGTCCTTTATTCATCTACAAGAAACTCTGGCAGGTATCCAAAGCAAGGCCAGCTTCCCAGTTCCAACTGGCTGATTTACCAACTGGAGGGTATTGTGCTCCCTGAAAAACTTCACAAGAGAGGGCTTCCCCTCATGGTAGAAGGAATTGCCCTGTATAACCAGGGATTCAGGAAACCAGTGTTTCTATCTCCAGATAAGTAGGATTTACACCAAGTCCTGAATCCTGCCTGTACAATTCTACCAGGGATAGAAAACACAAGTTTTCAAATGCTGCATTAGAGTTGTGACTCTGCCCTGAGCAAATTCGGCCTAAAATGGGAAACTACTGATACACCTGGGGGAAAAACAAGTGTAAGATGAAGTTAATACCCTCCCTAACTTGCTGCCCTCACTAGCGTAGGCTGTTAAAGTGAATATGACATTGGTTAAGAATCCAGGTCATGCTGTCTAGTGGCAAACGAGTTAAACTATCAAACATCAAAATTAGAAACCCCCTCAAAAAAAAAAAAAATTCAGGTTATGGAGGCAAATCCACAGGAGCCCAAATCTTGACATTACCACGCTCTTGTGTTATCTTAGGCTTTAGACAAACTCAACAGATACTTAGTGGAGCGTCTCCTTGTTGCTGGGCATTACTTTAGGCGCTGGAAAGAGCAAAGGAGGCACTTAAGGGTCTTTGCCCTTGCAATCTGTTTCCTGGCTTTAGGGGGCAGTGTGAGGGTATTGGCAGTTGTGACCCGCCGTGACAACTCAGGTGCCGCGGTTCCACGTCACCCAGCAGCAGCCTGCACCGCAGACCGCTTGCCGTGACCCGCCTTGGCGCATCACTTCCGGCCTCCGTGCCTCGCTTCCGGCCGGCCGCTCCTTCCTTCCGCTTCTCTATGGTGCATTGACCACAGTGTCTACGCCGCGGGAAGAGACTCGCTCTACTGTACATGTTCGGGCGCGGTGTGGTGAGGAGGGGAGATTGGGACCGCGGCCGGGCGGCGGTGCAGGGCCCAGCGCTTTGGGACTGAAGTGTTGACGGTTCGGAGTGGGTCCTCGGGCTGAAGTCCGATCAGGGTTTTCTATCATTACTCCCTGGGGTTCCCGGCCACTGGGCGCTGCAGCCTCAGTTTCCTCATGTGGAAAACGTTGGCTTCAACGTTGTCAGGCCCCACATGTATTCTCTAGATCAGGGGTCTCCAACCCCCGGACCAGTTCCGGTCTGTGACCTGTTAGGAACTAGGCCGCACAGCAGGAGATGAGCAGCGGCTGAACCTTCATCTGTATTTGCAGCCGCTCCCCAGCCCTAGCATCATCGCCTCAGCTCCACCTCAGATCATCAGGCATTAGATTCTCATAGGAGCACCGGTCACTGGTGCCAAAAAGGTTGGGGACTGCTGCTTTAGATGACCACAACGGGACAACGATGGTGGTGGTGTTAACAGCTCACATTTATTGTGCGCTTATGTGTTCCAGGCGCTCTTTACTATGTTGCCAAAGCTGAGATTTCCCACACTTAAGCCTTTCCAGTCTCATCTTTATGAGTTTCACCTTTGTGGCTCTGGCCAAATCAACTTACCTTGTAAGACTGTTTTGCTAAAGGTTTTTAATCAAGTGACTTTTAAGTTTTAAATTTACTTTAAAAAGAAATTTTAAGTCTACTATAAATATAAAACTTCTTTCACTTGTCATATGCAGAAGATAATGCTAAAAATCAATATATTTAATATGAAACAGGTCATTGTTAATAATTTGGCTAGATTTAAGTTTACAGCTCTAAGACAGTACTATTGTTAAAGGAATATTGGCGTTCATAGATGTTAAAGGTATTCTAGGAAAATGAGACGTTCTCCTTAAAGCAATCAGAATTTTCTAAGAAGAATTGAAAAGGGATTAACTTTTTCCTCAGGTGTTCAGCATTATTTAAAATCATCTATGTGCCATCTAAAGCCTCTCTTCCAGAACATCTTCATCACCTTCCCCACTGGAGGACATTTCTGTGTTAGTGTCCACAACAACCCCTGAGGTAGGAGCTTTTATTCTCATTTGATCTGTGCGGAAACAGCCAGAGAAAAGTGAGGTGATTTGTTACAGGAATCATAGCCATTAACTAATAGAGTGGAGACTCCAATTCAGGACTTCTCTGACTCTACTATGATGAGCTGTTGGCCTTCTCAATAATTGTTGATGACAGATTGATTGAGATAAGAGGGATAGTGCTATGCACCTCGGGGCTGTGGTGACAACCAGGAGTAGTAGCAGAGGGAGGATGCTTTTTGACCCTAGAGCTTCATGAAATGTAGGCTCTGTTCTTTTAAATTTTAGGGTCAACCAAGGAGTTGATGGCATCGCCAGATGAGATGGTGGCAAGACTAGGAGGCACAATAATGTAGTTGTCAAGAACACTGATGTGGCATCAGAGGGACCCAAGCTTTAGCATACTAGCTGTTTGACCTTAGGCAAATCATACACCTTTCTGATCTTTAGTGTTCTCATCTATAAAATGGTACTTGTTCTTATCTAAAAGTTTTGTTAGAAAGATCAAATGAGAACACACTTAAAGTGCTTAGATCAAGGTCCAGCACACAGTGATAAATCAGTAGTATTGGGAATGGGCTTAAATGCCAGCCTGAAGAGTTTGGTCAGTGGAGTAGTGCCTTTAAAGAAAGTGGAGGTGGAGATAAGTTATTTTGGACAGGCTGAGGGATGATTCCCCTTTTTACAGAGGATTAAATAGGCTTTGGAGGGTTGAGTTACTTTTCTTGAATTACCAAGGGTGTAAGTAGCCAAAACTGCTAGTTAAAGTTAAGTATTCTGACTCCAGGAAAATTTCCAGTTCCAATTCTGGAAAATCTCAAAAGCTTTCTCCTTTTAACAGGCCTCTTTTTCTGCCTGACTTCACCAAACAATCATGTCATCGGAATCGAGCAAAAAACGGAAGCCCAAAGTGATCCGAAGTGATGGAGCTCCAGCTGAAGGGAAGCGTAATCGTTCGGACACTGAGCAGGTGAGATCAGCCGGGGCTGCCATGCTGCTAAAAAATTGCAGTTTGTGGCCAAGTTTGTGGCTCTCGGTTTGCAGCAGCTGAGGGTCACAGAGACAACCTCTCAAGTGGTCACTGCTTAACCAGGTGCCCAGAATTCACTTGGCTCTACAAAGCCTGAGTAGCTACATCAGGTTTAGCTGTAGCATCCCAAGAACCAGCAAGCCTATATTAGACATGATTGTTGTCTGAACAGAGAATGCATTCTAGTATGGTGTATGTCTTCAATTTTCCTGATGGTCAGAAGAAGGCAGTCCATATGCAACATACCACTGGAATTTTAAAATGTGGCATCCCTGGCCTGCTACTGAGACAGTACCAGAACCACGTGTCTGCAGAACCTCTTTTGTGGCATGAAAGCTCATGTGTCAGCAGGTTCTTTTGCTATTTCTCTGTCCTTGAATCTATCTACCTAATTTATGACTTAACTGTTTGGATCATTTGGTTATGTTTTTCATTTGTTTTTAAAACTAGAATAGAGAAACATAGCAGCTTAAATTTGAATAGAAAATTATACTTAACCTCAGGTTTAGGAAATCAAGATTAATGAAAAGACTTATCATTTGGGGGGCATTGATTCTGACTCTCTTGTTTAATTGACATAACATTATGTTAGTTTCAGGTGTACAAAATGATTCACTATTTGATATATTGCAAAATGATCACAATAAGTCTGGTTAACATCTGTCATCATACGTAGTTACAAAATTTTTTTTATTGTAATGAGAACTTTTAAGTCTACTCTCTTAGCAACCTTTCTGGAGTGCAATACAGTATTGCTAACTACAGTAGACTCTCCATTAAAGAGATGTGTTCTGTTTACTCCAAAGGCTGGGAGACCAATATTTTAGTCTCTGTTAAAGCTTGATTTGACCATCTAAACATCCATCCATAGGAATTTGGTTGAATTAATTTTGGTTTATCTATATAGAGGATCTATAGCTATCATGTAGCCATTTTGATGGAGATCTGTATTTATTGGAATGGGAAATTGCACTAAATAGCATATTCCATTTTGTTTAAAAATAAAATTTGTACTTATCCACAGAATTAACAGTGGAATTATTTGAGGCTGGAGTTGAGATTATAGCAGTCTTTCATTTTTTTTTTTAAAATGCCTACTGCACCTGGAATTCCTAGGTAGTCTCCCATCCAAGTACTAACCAGGCCCGACCCTCCTTAGCTTCCGAGATCAGATGAGACCTGGCATGTTCAGGGTGGCATGGCCATAGTCATTTTGTTCTTGATATTCCTCACTGTTCTGAATTTCTGTCACCAAGCATGCTTTATTTTATAATTAGAAAGAGGAAAAGAAGAAAAACATTTGAGGACCAGATCCTTTAGAGACCTGATTTGGGGCTTCATTGTTACTGATCCCAGCCTATGTCCCTGGTCCCAACAGGTAGACTTTTACTCCCCACTCAAGGCCTGTATCCTTGCCTCCACAGGAAGGTAAATACTACAGTGAGGAAGCTGAGGTGGATCTGCGGGACCCTGGCAGAGACTATGAACTATACAAGTACACATGCCAGGAATTACAGAGGCTCATGGCCGAGATCCAGGACCTGAAGAGCAGGGGAGGCAAAGATGTGGTAAGGACTGGACTAGACAAACATGAACCTGGTGGGTCTGCATGGATGGACCTGTTCTGCGCTTTCCAGAACCCTTCCTGATCTTGATCTTCTGTTTTAGCTACGAATAGGTAGCCTGGGGCTCCAAAGACCTGCCTACTAATTTACTGGAATGTCTCATCACCACCAATCACCGGTTACAGTAATGAAAGTATAGGATAATTAATTTTTTCCATAACTATAATTTGATAATTCATCCAACTAATATTTATTAAGTGCTAGACATTTTGCTAGGTGTTGAGAAATGATAGTACATGTAAATTCCCTTGCTGTCATAAGGATGGATATGTATAAATAAATCATAGAGACCAAAAATGAAATATTAATATTAAATGAGTAAACCAGGCTTCAGGCAGAGAAAATAAGTGTGACTAAAAACTAGATGGAGGAGTTCAAAACAAAACAAAATCCATATTTTTCCAGGAAGCTCACTTGTTTGTGCTTATACTGGCTAATATTATTAAGATTATTACGTCTTATGTATTTCACTATAGCCAAGCTTTATAACTGTAATTCTGTTTTCATTTAAATTATTCTATAATGTTATTTATAGAGGTCAAATTGTATGGCAATATGTTGCTATCGTTAGGCTCTCTGTGTGCAATATGTAGGAACAGATAATTGTGCATGGGCTGTGCTTGCTCTGTCTTTGTTTCCTGTTGCTTCTGTCCAAGCAGAAATTGCTTTTTTGCCTAGGAACCTTAAGCATTTCTCTTATATAGTCATTCTTTCATTTCCTTTGGACACTTCTCATGGTTCTGAGCTCCTTCTGTTTTGGGGGCTGAAGGAAACCCAGCCAGCACCTGTTATTGAGGTGTTTACCAGTTTTTCTTTATCCACAGGCAGTTGAACTTGAGGATCGGAGAATCCAGAGCTGTGTGCATTTTATGACTCTGAAGAAGCTTAACCGATTAGCTCATATCAGGTTGAAGAAAGGAAGAGATCAGACCCACGAGGTAATAGTTGAGAAGTTTAACCTTCCTTCTCCTTCTTCCTCTCCATCCCCTTTTTCATCCCCTCTACCCACTCTCTCAGTTTGCTGCTACCCTGCACTGCCCAACTCTGACTTGCCCCACTCATCTCCGACCTTGTCCTTCTTTCAGGCCAAGCAGAAAGTAGACGCCTATCACCTGCAACTCCAGAACCTGTTGTATGAAGTAATGCACCTGCAGAAGGAGATTACTAAATGTCTGGAGTTTAAGTGAGTTTCGGAGGACAGAGCTTTGGCAAGGTGGTCTGTTGGTAACTGTTTTATCCTACATAGCTCTTTGAGAGCTAGTCTCTTAGAAAGAAATCAGATGAGTGCAGAGACTGTAGAACCTGGGAGAAGGTTAGTACATAGTCTCTGCCAGGGTCCCGCAGATCCACCTCAGCCTCCTCACTGTTAGATAGATCACTTTGAGTGGGAAAATTGGAAGTAGTATTTTCAGGCTGCATGAAGAAACTCAGAAGCCTGTCTGATCCTTTTGAATTTTGAGCTCTGCACTTGGTCAAAGGCAGTTGTCTCTCCCCAGCAGGGACCTTTACATTTATTACAGGTTTGATTCCTGGGCACCTTGTATGGGAGCAAGTCATATCCTTTTAACCATTTGGCTCAATTTTCATCTCTAAAGTTCAAACAATTCATTTTTGCAAATGGATTTTATTCTTTCGAATCTGAATTTCTTGCTGTTTAGCTGCCTTCAGGTGAACGAACTAGAATTTGGCGATGTTCTTAAAATGTAATGCCTTTTGTCAAATCCACGCTGAGAAATGAGAAAGAACAAGTAGGCAGAGGAAGAGAATGGAACGTGTTCTTGTTTGGTTAGACCTATTTGTGCAAACTGAAAGGAGGCAGGTTTTTAGTTGTAATATACTTGGGGTTGGGGGCACATTAGATATTGGGTCTGGTGTATTTTTAGTAATGATGATACTGATTTTTGAGAGGTATCTTATCTGCTCCATAAATTCATCACACAATAATACTTAAATACTAATAGAGATAAAACCCACATCAGGTCCATACCTGAGTTAATAATATTGTACCATTGTCAGTTTCCTAATTTTGACAGTGTACTATGTTTAGGTAAGATATTATTGGGAGAACCCAGGGGAAGGTTACACAGAGGAAATAAACTCTCAGTACTATTTTTGAAACTTCTCATGAGTCTTAAACTATTTAAAAGTAAAAAATATAAAAACAAAGTAAAAGAATGTGATGCCTCAACCTGTAACCATCACTCAGATGAAAGCTGGCAAAGAATACAGCAGAACTTGGGCTTATGGAGAGGCAGGTGGCCACGGTGGACCGTGGAGTCAGACAGCCTAGGTTCAAATACCAGCTCTGCCACTCACTAGCTGTGTGACCTTGGGCAAGCTGGTTAACTACAGAAGCCTCCATCTCATTTGAAAAGCGGAGATAAAAATCCCCAATTTATAGAGTTATTTTGAGAAGTGAGGTAAAGATGACATACAGTGGGTACTTAATTCATGGTAGCTGCTGTTGTTATTGCCATCATCTGTCTACAACCTGTGCTCTATGTTAATGCAGGAAAGAGTATTGGATTTTTTTTATACATGGCGTCACTATACATGTAACAATTAAAACCTTTCATATTCGGTTAGATCTTCCCCATCCCATGGTTATGTAGTTACTATTTTGAACTTAAATGCAGACCTTTATGTTTATTCCTGTTAAGTAACATTTCTTGGTTTCAACCTGACAGTTTAGGCCTAGACCATAGTATTTTTATTTGACTCTTTAAGCTCTTAGCCCTCTCGTTCAGCTTGGAGATGTCTATAAATTTGGTAAGCATCCCTTCCAGGTGTTAAGCTAATTCTTGGATTAAAAGGTTAGACAGCATGGTTAAGGATCCTGTGGCACGTCACCAACTACCTCTCTTTAAACTGAAATACCTGCTAATGAGCGTTTTCTGAGAAGACTGGATTCCAGGTCCCTGCGTAGCTGCAGATCTGGGCTAAGTGGATGTACATGGTGGGGTTGAGGGGAACTGTGGGCCTGCTTAAGAATGGCAGAGTGAAATTTGTTTTTGTCTGCAGGTCAAAGCATGAAGAAATTGATCTAGTCAGTTTAGAGGAGTTCTATAAGGAGGCTCCTCCAGATATCAGCAAGGCTGAAGTCACCATGGGAGACCCTCACCAACAAACCCTTGCACGTCTGGATTGGGAGCTGGAGCAGCGGAAAAGGTGGTGTTTCATCCTTCTTGACCTTGTTAGCCTGTGCAGACACATGGACCTTTACCCATGGGGATCCGTCCTTTATCATGACCCAAATCAGACAGTAAAGTGCTGGGGAACCAGCAGAATAGTTTCTAAGACAAAATCCCACATTGTGATTAACTCACACCTAATAGTTTAGACTTGGCCAGCTGCATCATGGGTGGGGTTTGAATTGCTTAAAGCTGTTAACAGGAAGTTGGAGTAACTTTTCCTTTAAAATTTTAACACCTGAGACCTAAATACTTTTTGTACCATGAATCTAATTTTGTTTTTTGCCTTTTCCCCCTACCTATAACAGTGTCCCTGTGGTATTTTAAAGCTTTGTAAACATTATTTTAGGTTTTACAACATTCTCATGTATAGACAAATTGTAATTCATGTAATCATTTCCCTGTTGGATTGGACTTAATTTAGGGTGTTTAAGTAATGCTTTAATAAGGCACACCTTTACATATAAAACTTTCCTGTACTAATAAAGAGCTTTTAGTTATTAACTGTAAATAGAATGTTTATACTGTGTAATTTAATCTAGGTCTTTGTAAGAGCTTTTTTTTCATACTGGACTTTTAATGGCTGCATCTCTTTCATTATGGTGACTTTTTTCCCTTTCATATTTGTATAAGAATTGTAGGGCTTGTGGTTAGCACATCTGCTTTTTTATTGGAGAATCAGCTGCTTTTATTCCTTGCTTTTTCTGTTATAGAATATATTCTGTGCCTTTGGTTCATGTTATGAATTTAATAAGCACTAAGTCTGGTTCTTAAGGAATTGGTATCAGTTTTTAGGAAATGGGGCTGGCCCGTACCTCCCCTGTCCAGTACACTGCTTGCCCTGGGCACAGGCTAAGCTGTGAATGTTGCTTTCCTGTGGCACTTGTCCGGAATCCATCTCCACCCTGTCCCACTCAGGCCAGTTTGTGGCTTGTTTGGGACTTGTAGCTGCTAGGTCCACATGTTTATGAGAGTTTCGGTCTTGCCCCTAGAGGCAAGAAATGGAGCTGGAGATGACACAGGGGTATTTCCTAGTGGTATGGACAGAACCTTTTGAACCAGGTAGGCATGAATTTAAAACCCAGCTCTGTGCTTGCTCTTAACTGGCTGACCTTGGGCAAGTTAACCTACCTCTCAGCTTTCATTTCCTCCTTTGGGGATAAGAAAAGTCCCTGTCATCCAGGGTTTTTATAAGGATAAATGCAATAATGCTTATAAAGAGTTCTCAAAGTGCCTGGCACATCTTAAGTGCTAGGTAAACAGTTCATCACGATTGCTGTTACTAGGTGGATTCTGACAGTGAACTAGCATATCAAGATATCCCAGGAGAGCATCTAGTGATAGTGCTGTCCTTCCTAAACAGGCTGGCGGAGAAGTACCGTGAGTGCCTGTCCAACAAGGAGAAGATTCTTAAGGAGATTGAAGTGAAGAAGGAGTACCTGAGCAGCCTCCAGCCACGCCTCAACAGCATCATGCAGGTGAGTGTCTCCCCCACAACCCCTTCCTCCCAGTCTTTTGCTTTGCTTTCACTGAAGAACCAGTGAGACCTTTTTGACCTGAGGCCACCTGCACCCCCATCTCCATTCTGCCAGGTATGTTATCTGTTACCCTAATCCGTGTAGAGAACAGTGCAGAGATGGTCCTGGCTGAAGTCCTACCCAACTGGTGCAATGATGTTGTGTCCTGAGTGGAAGAAATGCTGGCCAGGTGGGCTCAGGAGTACATACACACATTTACTTGGGCATTTTCTTTACACCCAGAGCCTCTGGGTAAAACATATTTGCAAACTATAAGTTTAGTTTACCCTCTGCATGGTCTCCAACAGCCCCCAGTCTCAGGCATCTAAGCATGTTTCTGTGGATATCTGTTAGATCTCCTTGACCGTACTTCAGGGGCAGATGCTCAGTAGATCTGCTTGCTCTGAAAAGTACTTATATTTGAAAGCCATTAGGTACCTTAGGAGAAAGTCCCTACTTTACCTGTAAAATGTAATGTCTTTCTATATAGGTGACCTGATTTTGTTTGCTTCGTGAAGCCAGATTTGGTCTAGAGCCTTACAGTTTTATGAGGCAGGGTAAATGGTTAATATGGAGGAACTTTACAGAAGGATCCTAGAGAAATTAAATTCTCTTCTGGGATTTGGCAAGATCTACATTTCCTCCCTTCAACTCTAGGTTTAGAATTAGAATTGTTAACAGAAATATTCCCAGTAGCACTTCATAATAGGACAAAAAGAAAACAAACTGAAAGTTTTTTAACTTTCCTGTTAAAAAAATATGCTATGCATATATTTAGGTTTGGAAAACTGAAACAGTTTTCTAAAGCAATTGTATTGATTCCAGCACCACAGGAAAGTTCTAATTGCTCCACATCCTCACCAACACTTGATATTGTCAGTCTTCTTAATTGTAGCCATTCCGGAGGGCATTGCTTATGTTTTTAATTTCTCTTTTCCTGGAACCAGTGACAGTTGAGCACAGCACCTTTTATGTGCTTATTGACTCTGGATTAACTCTTCAGTGACAGGCCTACTTATGTCTTTTGCCCATTTTTCTGTTGGATTGCTTAGAGTTTTTTATATTTTCTGAAAATGAGTCTTTTGCAGATATCTTTCCTATTCTGTGACTTTTCTCTCATAGTGGTATTTTTTAATGAGCACATGTTCTTAATTTTAATCTAATTAGTATTTTTCTTTATGATTATTGCTTTTGTGTACTGTTTAATAAATCTTTCTCTTTCCCAAGGTCATGGAGATATTCTCTTGTTTCCTTATAGAAGTTCTGTTGTTTACCTTTCACATTTAGGTATATAGTTTTTCTGGAAGTGAATTTTGTATTTAGTGTGAGATAAGGAACAGATATATTTTTTTTCCCTGTAGGTATTTAGCTGACTCATTTATCGAAAAGACCATTCTTTCCCCCTTTTGTTATAAATCAAATGTCTGTGTATGTAGGATTGTGTGTGATATCTTGTTGTCTATTTATGCACTAGTATCACACTGTCTTTACTGTAACTTTATCAGAAGTCTCAGTAGAATAAGTCCTTCAGCTTAATTTTTCAAGGTTGTCTTGGTTATTCTTAGCCCTTCGCATTTACATATAAATTTTGGAATCTGCTAGTCTATTTTCACCTGCTGGGATTTAGACTGGGATTGCATTGAATCTGTAGATCACTTTGGGGAGAATTGACATCTGGATTGTATTGCGTGTTCCAGGCCATTAACATGGCATATAGCTTCATTCATTTAGATCTTTTATTTCTCAGTTCTTTGTGTAGAGGCTGACACACCTTTCATTTATTTATTCTTAAATATTTGATGTTTTCTTGACGCTATTGGAAGTGGTATCTTTTTTAAGTTCATTGTCTTACTGTTTATTGTGTGCATAAAGAAATGCAATTGATTTTTTATATGGACCTTTTATCTACCTGTTAGTTCTGTTAGCTTATCATGTATTACTTTCATAAATAAAAAACTATATTGTAACTGTGAGTGGTCACATGTTCATTCTTGGACTGCCTAGAGTGGAAAAACAAATCTTTCTTTCGTTGCCTGCAGGCTTCCCTCCCAGTGCAGGAGTATCTGTTCATGCCGTTTGACCAGGCTCACAAGCAATATGAGACGGCCAGACACCTACCGCCTCCCCTCTATGTCCTCTTTGTCCAGGCCACTGCATATGGGCAGGCCTGTGGTGAGTATGGGAGCCGGGTGAGGAAAAGGGGCTGTGGGAGCAGAAGCCGTGGCTTACTGAGTCATTCGGAAGCACTGCCTACTGAGGAAAGCTCCCAGGCCCTGCTGAGAAGACCTCAGGTGACAAATGCCACCTCCCCTCTGCTCTGCCCAGCATGGCTGCTTTGACCAGCTGGCCTGAGGCTAGACTAACCTGATGGGCATTTCAGAATGGATGGCTTTGAATCTTTGATAAGCCTGGCTGGTTGGCTGCAGGGTGCAGTACTCAGGCAGCCCAAGGCATGCGTGGCAGATGGATTGGTGCTTCTTGCTCTGCTTCAGAGAGGTGGCTTGGTGAACAAAGGTCTCAGTCAGCTCTCCCAGGCTTTCCCATGCCCCAAACAGACTGCATGCCATTACGATGTCCTCATTAAGCTTAAGGGAAGCCCTTTGCTCTACTGGGGTTTTGAGAAGTTTTTGGAGACCCTTCCTCTTGCCCTACTGCAGCTTCCACCGAGCACCTGAACTTTTCTTCCCCACACCCACCCTGCCACCTCAGACAGACGTATGTTGCACTAGTGCATGCCTCTCCTCCTAGCCATAGGCACCAACACATTACTGTCTCTCTTCTTGTGTCTTCCTGGTCCTCTGGTCCTCTCCTTCCCCTTTGTTCTCCCTCTTTTTTCCATCATCAGCTCATATGAAATCCTCCCAGCCCCCTAAACAGGGTGAGTAATTTTCCTTTCTTTTGTGTTTAAACCCCAACCTGTTTCCATTCCAATTTTACTATAGAATTTCAGGATTAAACTACTCAAAAGTCTGTCAGTGGTTGATGGAGACAACCAACTTTTTTGGGTGAGGTGTAAGAGAAAGAGCAGTGGTCAGATACCTGATAATATTATCTCAGTGGCCTGCCACTTGGAGGAAGTTTGTCATCCTTCCTTAGTGCAGCTGGGCAAACCATTTCAGGCTCCTGTGACTATTTGTAATTTGTATGTTCTTTTGAGTGGAGCAGGAGGGGTGGTGGTCTGTCTGACCTCCCTGCACTAGACCCACGTTGTTCCACAAAGGCAGGCACAGGCACCGTTAGGGAGGTGTCAGACCTGATGCATAGAACAGGCCTCTCAGCTTCATACTGAGATGCCAAGCTCAAGTCGATTGGTCTTAGCTTATGTACTTCCTGGCTATTGTATCAAACTCCTCTGAGCCTTAATTTTCTCATCTATAAATATTGCTCCTACAGCATCGTTGTAAAGGTTGTTAAAAGTTTTTTTTTTTAATAATTTTATAATTAAAGTTATAAACATCAGCTCATTCATTATAAGCATCACTTCAACACCCGACAGGGCAGCTATGATTTGTCACATTCCGATTCCATAGATGCAGAAACTGGGACTCATGGCTATGACGTAACTTTCCAGGTCACATGTTTGGGAATTGGTAGGGCAGGGACTCAAGGACTCTGGACTGCAGGGTTCAAGTTTCCAAACCCACTGTCCTCCTGCCTCCCAGTTAAATGTGACAGTGCCGGCCAGGTGCTTGGTGTAGTGTAGAATAGAGAATAAGTACATGGGTGAGAGTCATCACTTCCGGAATGTGTGCTGTATGGGCTTCTGCATGAGAACCTTTAAGACACTTGGCAGAAGAGTACCCTCAGTGCCTTGGCGTAAGCCTGAAAACAGTGACGGTCACCCCTGGTCTCAGGTGATGCTCGTCCAGCAATCCGTACTTTGAGTTTTTTTGTTCTCAGTAAATGATGCAAAAAAGACTTAAGTTTCCTACCTTTTTCCTCTTCATTTGGAGAAAGGGCTTTTGTCCTCCCACCCCCCAGTCAGTAAGGCGCTATGACAAAGGTAGAAGAAATGCAGTCCCAGAGCTGGCCTGCTTCTGTTGCTTAGCTCCTTCCCTCAGCGTCTATCACATGAAGCTTTTTCTTGCTCCCAGATAAGACCTTGTCTGTGGCGATTGAAGGCAGTGTGGATGAAGCCAAGGCTCTGTTTAAGCCTCCCGAGGACTCCCAAGGTAATGTAAGCCTCCCAAGGATTCCCAGGGACACCAAATCACCACCCAAGGGCAGTGCTGGTCCTTTGGAAATTAGCTGTACCAGTTATGTGCCACAGAAAGCTTAACTTTAATGTCTTAATGCTCAGGGATAGACAGGGAGAGCACTGCCTTTGGATTTCAGCCCTGCCACTCACTAGCTCACTGATCTTTAACATTTCTGAGCCTCAGTTTACTCACTTGTCAAAACAGGATAATAATATGTCATATAGAATTATTACGTGGATTAAAGAAGGTCATGCATGAAAACCATTAGACAGCATTTTTGGCACATAGCAAATTATATGAGCTGCTGTTGCTGTTGTTGTTATTTATATTATCATTACTGCTACCACCACCACTACCAGTGGAGGGCCTTGTAGTCCCTAGGATGACATTAAAAAGCACTTTAAAGGACAGGGGTGGTGGGATTATAGGTCATTCCTCTTTTCTTTTTTTCTTACATCATCATGTTTTCAATACTGAATAAGAAGCAGCAAATTTATTTATTATTTATTCTAAAGAAACCCATTTACAAACGACACAGAATCTGGGCCCCTTTATTCCCCATGTGTTGAGGTAATTTAAGGAGCATTGGGAGCCCCCTCACCTATAGACACCTTCTCCGTGGTTGCAGATGACGAGAGCGACTCAGATGCTGAGGAGGAGCAGACCACGGTGAGAGCCGTTTCCTCTCATGGGTGTACCAGGCAGCTGTGCTGGGGCCTGCTAGTTGGCGAGTGGCGTCCTCCCTAGAAGCAGAAGAAAGAAGCTTGAAAGAAAGGGCTGCTGGGAGCCTGGCAGCCTGGTAGCTGAAGCAACGGGTCTCAGGCAGTAGTGCTCAGGCCCTGGCCAGTAGGGAGAAGGAAGGGAGAGATTAGTACCACTAGTGCTTATCAGCTCCATTCTTTCCTTTGTCCAGAAACGCCGGCGACCCACACTGGGAGTTCAGTTGGATGACAAGCGCAAGGAGATGTTGAAGAGGCACCCACTGTCTGTCATGCTGGACTTGAAGTGCAAAGGTCTGGCTCCCCTTGTGGGATCCATGGCACCTAAGAGTTCAGCCAGCTGCAGTAGCACAGGGTCCAGCAAGCCAGAGGCCTCTTTGCCCAAGAAAAGATTCTGGTTTCATATTTCTCTGTTTATCCTCATTATTTTGCATGGAGTTCATTTGATTTTTTTCCCTAAGTCATACCATAGCAACAGAACAACAAAACTAGACACCTAAGGGATGTTTGATAAAACTATACCTCTTTCTGAATTTTAAAAGTCAGATACACAGAACAAGTTGCAAGAGTATGCAAATTTTGAGTAATGTAACTAATATTAATTTAATATAGGTAGAACTTTATGTTCTATAGAAAATATATATTTTGAAATTGGTTTGGTATGGATAAAGGAACATGTGGTAAAGCCTTCAGTTTAAGAGCTAACAGTCAAATGTAAGTTTCTCTCTCATCTGGACTCCCAGACTCTGGTCCTTGGTCTTACCTCCAAGGACAACTATTGTGTTAGGTTTCTTACGTATTTTCTAGAAGTATTCAGTGCATTTAGAAGCTTTTATATAAGTATATATTTATCTCCTCCTCCTTTTGTCCTTTACACAAATGGAAACAGACTTTATACACTGGTCCTTTCTTTGCCTTAAAAAAAGTTTATTTTGAGATAATTTTCGACTCAGAAGAGTTGCAGTGATAATACAGAGTTCTCGCATGCTCTTCACCCAGCTTCCCCTAATGTCAATATCTAACCACAGTACAATTATCAAAGCTAATGTTGATTTTATTGGTACAACACTGTTAAGTAAACTACAGGATTTATTCACATTTCCCTGGTGTTTCTCTAATGTCTTTTTTCTGTTCCAAGATCCAGTGCAAGATCTCACAAATTTATTTAGTCGTCTTCCCCTTAGTCTCCTCCAGGCAGTGACAGTTCCTCAGTCTTTGCTTGTACTTCATGACTTTGACACTTCTGAAGACAAGGTTTATTTATTATGTTGGAAGACTCTCAATTTGGGCTTGTCTGGCATTTTCTCCTGATTAGACTGAGGTTATAGGTCTTGGGTAGGAAGACAATAGATGTGGGTATCATTGTGTCTTATTAATGGTGATATTAACCTGGATCCCTTTGGTGATCACTTGATCACTCCCTTTCCATATTGTATTTCTTAGAAGCAGAGTCTCTTAAGTCCACCTCACACTCCACAGGAGGGAAATGAAGCTCTACCTCTTGGAGAGAGGAGTAGCAAAGAATTTGTACTGCTTTTTATTATTATTATCATTTTTTAATGCCTACAGCACCTGGTATTCCTAGGTGATCTCCCATCCAAGTACTCACCAGGCCCAGCCCTGCTTAGCTTCCAAGATCAGACAAGATCGTGCACGTTTAGGGTGGCATGGCCATAGACCACTCTGCTTTTTTTTTTTACTCAACATTAAATTGCCTTGAAGTTTTTATTTTTATAGTAAAAGATCTTAAAAGCCTCATTGACTTTCCTTTCTATAAAACTGTTGACTTTGTTCTCATAGTTAACTCTTAAATGATCTCTGCTTTTCCTTCCTCCCCCCTCCAGATGACAGTGTGCTTCACCTGACTTTCTACTATCTCATGAACCTCAACATCATGACAGTAAAAGCCAAAGTGACAACTGCAGTGGAGCTGATCACCCCCATCAGTGCAGGGTATTGAGCAGGCGCTTCAGAGAGTGGGACGAGGGAGGGTGGTGAGGAGAACCATGGCGTTGGGCTGCTTGGTTTCTCCCTCTTCTGGCTCTGAGGAGGTTCATGGCTACATTGCCTTCTGTTGTCATGTTCACATGGCCTAGAAGTGTTGGCTCATTACTGGTATTTTTCTTAGAAAGCACTCATGGACTTTAATTGGTGAAGTCCTCTTACTACACAGCAGATGATAAAAGTAACTGTAGTGTATTGCAAATTGAGTAGGTGGGGCAGATACTAGCTTTTTACAAGCAGTGTGGAAAGAACGTGAATGTGAAAATGAGATTTGGCAGACAGTATCAGGTTGATACATTCAGACTGCTCTCTTCCTTTTCTTTTCCTATCCCAAGATGCTGGGATTTTTTCTTCACAGCTTAGCTCAATCCCAGATTGTCCTTACCTGGGCAATGGGAATTGGACTGTGATGGGTCCCTGTTAGGGCTTTGAGGAGGGTGAACAGAGGCACAGTAATGACAGCTGTAGGCCAAGCATCCCCAGGAAACCCCTGACCATAGCAGTCTTGTTACACAGCCAGAAGCAGAAAGAAGAGAGGAGGAAGAGGGCCTTAAGATGAAATAGCCTCACTTACAGGAGCACTGCCCTGGCCTGGCACTCTTTCTGCCCCTGCTTTTACATGGTCCCACTGAGTCCTCATCTCAGCTGTAGAAAGACCACTGAACGAGGCACATGTTTGGAGCCTAATGAGGTGGGGCTCTTTTCATGGCTAACTGGTGGTTTCTCTGGGTATTCTACCCTGCACTTGAAGTCCACGCCTCTTTCAGGCTACAGCCTTGGTCCCTGTTCATGAGTGTTGTTTGACCACCCAGGGGTGCTTTGGATGAAATTGACTCCCTTCCCACCCGACCCCAGCAGAGGGAGCCCAGGGCTTGCTCCTTCAGAGTGCCCATTACATTTCGCCAGAGCTCTCAGTCCAGTGAACAGCTCTAGGTCTCCATAAGGTGGATATCCTTGTCACGAGAGTTCTGCCTGCTCACCTCTCAGATGCCCTACCTGCTAATAACAGAGTTGCAGGGCAGGCTGGCCTCAGTGCATGCTTAACTCTAGCTCCTCACTAAGCTGTGCAGTGCAGTGACGGGGGCAGTACTGCAGACTGGTTATACAGACTGGTTATGAGCTCTGATGAGTCCTGGGTTGGCCACTTAACAGCTCTTTGTGCACTTTTAGCCAAGTTTCTTTGCTTCTGAGTCTATTTCCTCATTCTGTGGTTGTTAATTGTAATGTCCTTTTCCAGGGAGCATGTGAAGAGTCAGGTCAAGTGCTTAGCACAGGTGAAGCACTTGGTAAATGACAGCTGTGTTTATCAACTTGCTTAACTCTTCCAGTAGCTCTATAAGATGAGGAAACTGAGGCCTATATACCACTGTACTATACTACTGTCATTACTGGGTGGGCATTTGCCCCCAAAGAGGGAGGAGAGACAAAAGGAAACACCACCCTGAAACTAGGATTAGATCTTGATGGACCTTCAAGTGTTGTCTAGCTTATCCCTCTATTGTACAGGTGGAGAAATCGAGGGCTGGGGACATATGACCATGGAAGCCTTGGGCCTAGAGCTCCAGAACCCCAGCCCAGAGCCGTTCTCTCAAGTACAGGCTGCTTTGGCCCCTGGAGACACCAGCCCGGTTTATGATTTTATCTATCTACTAAAATATAGGGATACTTTTTTTTCAATATAATTACAGTATTATACTAATTCCTTAATATCATGCAAAGCCAGTTGCAGTTCAGATTTCTCTAATTTTGTCATTAGTTGTTTTTTGTTCATTCTGTTTCGTTTTTACTATTTGGGTTTTGACTCAATCTCTATAAGGTTACAGTTGGGTGAAACTTCTCTCAAGCATCTTTTCATCTGAATGTCCCTGTCATGTTGTTTGCTCTGTAGGTCCCCTAGAATTTGATTTTGATGATTACATTCCTGTAGTATATTTTAATGGATTACTCCTTCCTCCTGTTATTCATGTAAATTGTAGTTAGATTTAGAGGCTTGCTCAGATTCCATTTTGAGTTTTTAGAAGGGGGATAAAGGAGCATGACAGTCATAGATGTTATTGAGTACTTCCATTAAGAGGCATGGGCTGTCTTTATTTTTGTGATGTTAGCAATATTGATGACTTTTGCCAGGATCTGTTAATTCATTAGGGAATTAATGTTTTTAATGCAAATGTTTTAATCAGAATTATACTAATTTTGCTGAATTTTCCTCAAATTATTTTCTATAATGATCCCCATTAGAGCATTTTAATTCATTAATTTTTTATTAAGCCATTAACCTATTTTTAATCATTTTCCATTTTTATTTTACCAAAGTTTATTTAATTCTTTTCCATTAAAATTTTATAACAAAGATTTGACTAATCAAATAGTTTTTTTGTTTGTGTTGTATTTTTATGACTATATATAGCTTCCCCTTTTATGTCTATTTTTAGCAAATTCAGTTGTCCTGAGTCGCATATTACAGATGTAGGTTTTGTCAAGATTTGATTTTGCCATCGGGTTTTGCCAATTAGAAACCCTTATCATGTGCAGTTTTAGACGTTCTGTTTTATTTTAGTTCATTAATTCTGTTGGTAATAGTCACTAAATATTGGCCAAAAGACTGTCAATTCTTATTTCTTTTCTAGCCAGTTTTTCATGTGAGGCAGTGAAAGGGAAGAGAGAGACTCTGGGAGAGACAGAACAGAGAAGAGCCAGAAGCTGCCACTGTTCCAGAATTAAGTCCCAAAGGCATGCCGGGGACTCAGAGCCTCAGGATCAGCCCTTCTGCCTGAGTCACTCCTGATGCTATCCCTGAAAAGATGAATAAGAACCCTTTGCTGGTTGAGGGGAAGAATGGGCCCTGTTGTCCTTTATGATTGGATTAATCTATTATATTCTCCCCACACTCGGCCCCACCCTAAATCTCTTCTCTGGTTGTCATGTTTAATTACAGGCTATGCCTTCACCATTCCGGGTGGGTGGCATTGGTGTCTTTGTCGATCTACTTATAGCACTGGGTCACCTTGTCCCCAGTGCATGTGATAATATCTTTTTCTGGGACCTTCTTCTGTGAGTAGTAGCATGAAATTTGGTCAAAGTATGATAGACACAGCACCAGTGCTACACACTTGTTCTTTCTGGGATAGAAAGGAATCTCTTCTGTTCCTATAAAAATTATGATTATTTCTATTTCTATTTCATAGGGCTTTGCTCCCCTGAGGTAAGGCCCTAGTCACCATGTAACTCTTGAAGGGATAGGTTTTTGTTTTTGTTTTTGTTTTTAATTTGGTGGTTTAGAGTGCTACTGTCTTTGATTAGGCAGAGCAAATCCCAGCTCCAGCACTTACTAGCAGTGTGAATTTGAACAAGCCATATCTTTCAAAGCCTTGAGTTTCTCCTCTATAAAATGGAAATGATAATACTCCCTACCTCATGGGGTTATGATGATCCAGTGAACTTGAGTATATAAAGGGTCTAGCCCACAGGAAGTATTCAGTAAATGATGGCATTGGTTTGAGAGGTGGCATTACCATCCCCGAATGCCCAAGTCTGCTTTGAGGCAAGGTGTTGGCCTCCCTTCTCACTGCAGTCTTCTCCCTTTCCAGGGACTTGCTGTCTCCTGACTCAGTCCTGAGCTGTTTGTATCCTGGGGATCATGGAAAGAAAACTCCGAATCCAGCCAATCAATACCAGTTTGATAAAGTCGGGTGAGTCAGCAGTGTTTCCTCCTCTCCCGGCCTCTTTGCTTCTGAGTTTCTCTGGTGGCTCAAGCCCAAAGCCGGATATCCGGTAGGGCCAGTGGCCTCTCAGGGTAGAGGGAACCTGGGAGGAGGAGGGAATGCTGTGTCGAGAGAAGGGAACACATACCCTTTCCTGCTTACGAGGCAAATGAAGGTCCTGGAAGGGTGAGAAAGGGTGGAGGTATCAAAACTTGATGAGCATGATAAGAACATGAGATATAATAAAAATGTTTAACATTTTAATTCTTTGAGGATTGAAAAATTTTTAAGTATTTTACAAATTGGTAGACTGGTAAAGAGATCAAGTGTACTGCCTTTTTATTGAGATTTGCTTATGAGTTGAAGGCTGTGAGGGGAAAAAAGAAAAAGTGAACATGAGAGAGATGAAATTCATAGTAGTGAACCAATGAAGTCAAGAGGCTTGGCCGGCAGCCTGGCTGCGAGCATAGCTGAGCCTGTGGGACCAGCCTGTTTGGGAGGAAGGCTGTATCCTGGGACCACTGCAGAAAGGACTTATAAAATCATTTCATTCTGTGTTCTTTTTTGCAGTATCCTGACTTTGAGAGACTACGTACTTGACCTAGGTCACCCCTATTTGTGGGTACAGAAGCTGGGTGGCCTCCACTTCCCTAAAGAGCAGCCCCAGGTATGTATACTCATCTGGTCTCCTTGTTTGGGGAGCTCTCCTCCCATACAAACTCCAGAAAGGCTTCTGATGGCCTTCGAGGGCTTTAAAATAGCAGAATGCTTTCCCTCAGGGCTATGATCTGTCCTCCCTCCACTCAGAAGGCTAAAATGTTCGAGGCCTACATGTATTTAGGTACCTTTTGCCTTCTCCCCAAATCTAAAATAACTTGGGTTCTTGCTCTGATGCAGCACAACTCCAGGCTCTGCCACCCCTAAGTCTTATGTACAAAGAGGCCACAAATGAAGTATAAGCAGAACTCCAGGGGATCTAGCACCCTAACAGAGACCTTCCTTTTCTCAGGAACCAGCCATAGCCTCTTGAGAACCCAGCAGCTTGTATTGTACCTGCTGGGACTCAGCGTCTGGCCTGTCACAGCAAGTAAACCCTGCTGTTCCCATTAGGTGACCACCTTAGGGCATGGGTGATCTTGGCTACTACATACAGGCAGGTCCTAGGAGAGAGGCAAGGCCTAGAGGAAGGAGTGGGGAGCACTCAGGTGTGTTATTTATTGTCATCCACAGCACACAGTGATTGCTGACCACTCTCTGAGTGCCAGCCACATGGAGACCACCATGAAACTGCTGAAGACCAGGGTGCAGTCCCGCTTGGCTCTCCACAAACAGTTTGCATCCCTTGGTAAGCTGGTTTTAGGGCTATGGCTTGAGAGCCATTCAGATAACACAGGGACAGAAATGACTTGGCCCTTCACTCGGATATTTTCAAATCGAAGAGGGCTTGATTCTTGGCTCTTGCTGAGCAGAAGTACCGGCAGGGCCACTGGAGAGAGCTGCAGGCCCATCCAAGCAGAGATCTGAGCTCCCATCAGGGCTGTCTCAGCTCACAGAGGAGACTCAAAGTCTTCTGAGTGGCACAAGTTAGTGGAGTGCTCAGGAGCAGCTCATCTTAAGTTAGTGCTTGTCAGGCCTACGTGCGTTCCACAGGTGTTTACTAGAAGCCCAATTCATGCTTTGTGAAGCTCACCTTCAGCCTATTTGAATACAGCTATCCAAGGATCCACCCCTCATTTCTCCCTTGAGACCTACTGAGCTAACACCATCCAGAGTGAGGCTGATCCCCTCTGTTTTTCATAAATTCTTAGGTGATTCTGATAAGCTGTTGACCAAGATGGTGGCCATATGGGGCTGCTTTTCATTTATCCATTCAGTAAATACTATGTACAAGGCACGTACCGGGTAGTGAGGGTTAAGATGTTTCTGATCTAAGAGTCACTGTCATGGAAGATACTGGGTTTCCAAGATCCATCTGGAGACCATACCCCTCTGGTTAAGTTGTTGTGCTCAGTGTGGATCCTGTCTTTCAGGGCAGCATTGCTTATTCATCAGGCTTTTCTCCCCATCAGCATTGCTGAATTTGTTTTGTCTGAAGGTTGGATGATTGTCATCCTGGACAGCATTTACTGTGTTGGCATATTTGCTTATTGAAGTGC